GTGGTGCAACTAGAAATAAATGTGAAGTTGTAGGTACTCAATCACCAGGCCATTTCGTTATAATGAGTGAATATCCTTTGATCAGAGTTTCAGAACGGAATCACTGCTTTCTGAAAGTCGATCTCAGCCGTTTTTTATGAGGATGGAGAATCTTTTTGTCTCCTCTAGTGTCCTTCCAGTTACATGAAGACTCAATGCATGTACATACATAGTCTTGTACGCAAAACAAGCAACACGTTTTTTTTTGGTTGTTTTCTCCCACAATGTTCGTTTGGTCTCATGTTTTTATTAGACATACATATTCGATTACTCAACTTATTTTAAAAGGTTTTGTGCCAGTGGAAGTGAGAGCTTATTGACAAAGCGATTAACTTGTCTTATGTTCTTGTGTATCATTGAAACAAATATTCAGTGTTGTATTTATAACTGTATTATTTTTAATTGCATTTTGAATTTCGAGCTATTTAAAATAATACAGTTATCAATACAACAACGAATATTAGTTTCATTGATACATACGGACATAAGACAAGTTCTCACTTCTTCTAGGATTAAACTTTTTAAAATAAGTTAAGCAGTCAAATATGTATATGTAATAAAAACATAAAACCAATACGACTACTGTGAGAGAAAGGGATCGAAAAATCATGTGTCGTTTGCTTGGGCCAGGTAAATATATTTGCATATATATATATATTGTTGAAGGAAGAGAACCAGTTATTTTTTATTTTTCTCATTCTTTTTATAAAAAATATACTTCATCATCATTGGTCGGAAAGATATTAAGGTGTGAGTATAAAAACTAGTTTGGGCAACAAAGAAAGCAAAGGAAGTAGATTGTTTTTACGCAGAAAGTCAAACATACTATTTACCATGTGGTATCCATGGCTGTTCCGACTGCAAAAAGCATTTTTTTGCTTTGTTCTTTTTTTCACTCAATTCAATCTACTCTCAAGAATTATTTTAATGCGTCGAACAAGACTTTTGTTTGGATTCATATTACTAGTTATTATTCAGCGATCGTTGATTCCTCGCTAACTATATGCCAACAGTACTTCGGGAGGTCTATTCGAAAAATCAACGCTTTTACCGGAGCAATAATTGCTGAGGTTTGAGTGTTCAGTATTTCGAAAATTTGATATTCTTCTGAAATTCCAGAAAGCTTCCATTTTTTGCATTCATTCCGACAGTCTTGAACTAAATCAGATATTTATGTTGAAAATCATATTGCAACATAGGTACTTACTATTACAAAGCTTGAATAAATTAGGTGAATTAAATGTGACGGTTTTGTCGTACGAAAGAGTCGTTCCAAATGATAATTTGTTCTGGTGTTTGAATTATACATGCAAGACAGCTACTAGTGAGACATGAATAAGACCAAAAAATGAAAACTACTCTTGAGCTTTCTTTTCATAGTTATAGTCATTTTACTGAAATTATAGCTTATGGCAGCGTATTCTAAGAACCAGTCAAGTAATGAGATTTGAACCTCAAAATTGGTGGCATGACAGGCCTATTTCTGACAAAAAATCGTCTGAATACATGAAAAAGTCTGCGACAACAAAAAGCACAACATCCCTTATATGTCATAGATCGGCGTCAAAAAGCAACCAAAACTATTACGACGAAGAGAAAAACAAAGGAGTTGCCGCTGTTTCACTTAATGACCACGCTTTTAAACGCATTTTATAAAGTTTTCGTAGAAAACGAAGCTTGGAAATATGAATTTCCAGAAAGCTACTTCCGTTAAAAACAGAATGCGTCATTGCAGAAGTGAGTTTTGTGTTTGCGATGACATTAACAACTGAATTCCATCCACATCAACGACCACATCAACGTCTAAACAATTCAAAGTCAAACTCATACCCATACATTCACAAGTATATACAAACTCACATTCTACACCAACTTTTACACCCACACATCATGCCCTCTCCATTCGCTCCCAGAATCCACACACGCGAATTCAAGCCTCATATCCATCGGAACTTCCCACATCCATACCCTTCGACGTCTGAAAACAGTTGCCAACGAATGATGAAAAATGAAAAACAAAAAAATCATGCAAACAACAATCAGACGGATGTGAAGAGAAAAAAATAGAGTATCATTTGTGCTTTTTTTAGAAAAAAGAAGTGCCCAAAACTACCGATAGGTGTTTATGCGTGCATTTACACTTTAGCATGCACTGCATAAACAACACTTTTTTTTTTCTTTTACATCGAAATATTCTTGCCGGTGACGACCCGACGCAACGAAGATTGGCGGAAAAATGAAGTAGGGAGTGACGTTTCTTTTGAAAATTGAGAATATATTTCTTCTAACAGAAAACAAATAGAGGGTGTGGGCGTAGGGTAAAACATTCTTTTGAAACAATCATTCTATTATAAAGAAACTCTACATTCACATTTGATTCTTCATTTCAAGTGTGTTACAGTAGATAAGTAGAGAGCGTCTTCTGCGAAGCTCCTCCAAAACGTGGGTGACGGTGGGGGCATGCGGAGTAAGTGTAGGTACGGATGTAGGGTGTGGATCTAGCTATCGATGGTTGGAGAGAGGATAAATTTTTCTTTGAATCTTAAACCGGCTCATTCCAGCCTTAACCTAATATGTTCTACGAGTGAGCGAGTTAAGCCTAATCATCAAGTTCATGGTACCATATGTAATGTATATCTATAAATTTGACTACAATAATTCCTTCAATTTACATGTATTCTTCACATTCAATTTCAATCAACAGTAGAATATGATGTTTTAGTTGTTGTTAGTAATGATAATTCTTCCATGTAAAGTAATGGCAATAAATGACTATTACCAAAGCGGCAAGCTATCTATCTTTCGAATAAATATTTAACTAGGTGGACAGTTCATGAATATTAACCGCCTATCTGTTTCACGTATGAGTTTGGGTTGATCAGAAAATTTGTGAACATAAACACCATCGGCTGAGCTGACTCAAAATCGATAATCTATCGGTCGGTTTTCCTAGACCTAATTCAACCCATTAGTCGATCTGATACCAAATAATGATCTATCTTGAGTTTTATGGATTAGCCTTCTAGGTATACGTCAAGACATGATAAGAGGCAATAATTGTAATGGCATTCAAAAGTGTCATCTGAAACTGAGTGAGAAGTTATTGTTTCTACAGAAAGCCCTCGAAAGTCATCCTGAATTTTGAAGAAACATTTTAAAATCCAAAGTTAGTTTTACAAATTTAAAAATAGGCACTTGAATGATCATTCTTATATTTTCATCTGAAAATGTGTCTGTTTTTTTAAGAAAAAATCGATTTTGAGAGAGTAGGAGCGGCCTTACACTATCAAAAACCTTGCTGTTTGGAGTCAACAGACACCCTGTTTTTTGTTTTCATTTGTCTATGTGTGAAATTTTGCGGTATACATCTAGGAAAAAATAATGTGGACTTTTTGGATGCGTACGATATTGATGTCATGGTCTGTGTATCACGATATAAGACTATTTGTATAGATTTCTTTCTTAAATGAGCTTAAGTCCAGCAAAACTACACAAAAAACCGAAAACAACGAGGAAAGATCATTTTTTAATGTAATGTTGACTCTCAAAACATATAATTAAGTATTGATTATTTTACTAGCATAAGACGCACATTTTTAGTACTGTAGGGTATGATCTTTTTGCAAACATCCGTTAACGCTCACATCCATGCCCTTGTAAGGACCAGAAATTCCTAATCTTGAAGAGTTCCGAACAGAATCCTGAACAGGCCTAGAAAAAATCTTCATAACAAATATGAATAGGAATTGAAACAGAATTCTGATTGAGACTTCATAGTAGTCATCGTTTTTGGCTTCTAACTAATCCTGCAACAACTTAATTTGGTCGTCATGGGATACAGTTGAAACTCATGACACAATGATGAAATAAAAATTCTGAAAAGTTTTTGATGAAATTTCGATAAAATCTTGCAAAAACTTCTAATAAATCGTTGTCAAATCCTAAAAAGAAAGTCCTATTTAACCATGAAAAATTTCAATTACAGAAATTATCACGTATTAATACACCCTACGAAAAATCATACAATTGTTTCGATAATAATCAACTTATGAATAATAGACAGCATCTTGGAATTTCTTCAAAAATTGTTTCTACGTATACAACTAATCTTTTTTTTGTTTCATACATATTTTTATCTAAAAACAAATTCTTTCTGTCAATTGAAATATTTTCTTTTAGAATATGGAATATCAATATTTTATGAATCATGAAATGCGATTAGTATGATAGATTTAGCTCTGCTCTAGTTAGTTAACAAATATACTCTTGAAATTTGTGTGGAGCTTTAACGGTTCTTCGAATCACTTCTACGTTATCTGAAATCCACGAAAAATTAGTGAATTCTTTTTGTCTAAGGTGTTAATACAGTCGTATTAGGTGTGGAATTTTAATTGCACAAAGATTATACTAAAAGGCTTTTTTTAGGAACTTCTTCAATCAAAAAAACCTCTAACATATTTTCAATAAGAGAAATACAATTATAACAATGTCATTCATGTATGGTCTTTTTTAAATATGATCAAAAATAAATATCGACAGCGAATGAACATGATTTTAAATATTATCAAAATGATAAAAACAAAACACTGCTTAATATTTCGTTTGATTTTATATCTTTTGAATCAAGTTTGATTCTAGTTCATCTATTGAAAACTATTAAATAAAGAATTGTTTTTATTTATTTATTTTTTAAAAATTAAAAAAAAGATATACAGCAAAAGTATCTTTGTTTGTTTCAATATAATTTAATTCTTCATTTCTAAGTATAAAAATCTTCTTTTTTATTTCATTCAATAGAAGAGTTTCATGAGTTTTAGGTATTTTCTTAGAAATTCATGGCTTAACAAAAAAAAAAGAGAAAAATAAATTTGATCTCTTTCATAAAGATTTTAAGATTATCAGAAATATTATTGTCAGTCACAACAGCTTCGTTTTTCTTCATGTTGTCACAAAAGTTCTCTTTACACTCTATCGGTCTTTGCATTTCCTCGTTTGCAATACCAGATGATACCAACACTAACAGCAATCAGCACTGGTATACCAAGACCCAATGTTAGACCAAGAATTAGACCTAAGTTCGTTGTTGCTGAAAATGAAAAAGAAATATTATAAATTTAACTAGAAGTTGAAATAATTCGTAACTCACATGAAGAAGGTTCGATTGGGATTTCGCTTGTTGTAGATGTTGTTATAGATACTGTAGTTGTTACAGATGTAATATTCGTGGCAAGTGTTGTAATTGCTGCAGATGTTGTACTTATTGTAGATGTTGTACTTGTTATAGATGTTATAAAGTTTGTCATATCCGTTGCCTTATCATCTGTTGGAACTAAGAGACACAAATAATAAAATTACTAATTGAATTCATATGAAGTGAGCGCATACCGTTTGCAGTGGAACTTTCAATAGTTGGATTTTCACTAAGCTCGGTGATATTACTAAAACTGTTTTCATTTGTGCTTGTAACAGCTGGCACTGAATGATCGACATCTGTACTAGCTTCAGTTGTGTCTAAAACTGTTGAATCTATAATTACATAAAGCTATATTCCTTGAAGTCATGGATGACAAACCTAATCCATTAGTGGATATTGCAGTAGTGTCTTGACAATTGCAGATGACCAATGTTAAAAGCAAAACTAAAAAGCAAAAATTCATGTAGTTTTACAATTGAAATGTTATTTCAAACCTGTAGTGGTGAATAAAATATGCATTTTTCTATTGAAATTTTCGTTAATCGTTATTTGAATCAAAGAAAATAATAAACGTCCGTTGATGGTTGATGTTATCCGCTGCTTTAACTGAATTGAATGAGATTGATATCCAACAGTACTGGTATTTATACGAGATTTGTTTCTTACTTCACACACGAATAAAAGATGTATTATTTCGATTAATCGTAAACTGATAAGAACATCTACGCTAGTTTTGTTTCAATGTTCGTATGTATATTTCAATAATTGTTAAAATAGGAAAGAAAAAAAAAAATCTTGTAACATATTTAATATCTTATTGCTACTAGTGACTGTCAACTGACTAAATATATAGTTTTTATGACAATATATCATTCGTTTTACAAGCTTTTAGTTTTCTTAGAAGTATTGACAATCTGATATGAGAGTGTAGGTGTTGTCAACTTTACATTAGAATTACACAAGTTTTGACTTCCGATATTAATAGCGTCATATTAGACAAGAGAGTTGTATATACGTATACCATTGTAAAACACTTGAAAAATCTTTCAAAGATATAATCTTTGAGAAATTATGAAAAATCTAATTGATTGATTTCTCTGCAAGTTTGATTTTAATCTAACATAGAAACATTTTTAAAAGTGATTTATACTTAGATTTTTATGTTTTAAAGTTTTTTGTTTCGAATACGAAAAAATCTTTTTAGAAAATAGAATGAAAAAAAAAACCAAATAGTAACTGTTTGTCATGACTTTGATATCTTTAAAATGGTTTTTTTATTGTCTTAAAAATGAAGCTTGTAACCAATGACATTGTCAAATAGTCATAAAAAATGTCAAGTATAGTAGTGAAATAATTGTAGACAAAGTAGACATAAGATATGTGCATGATATCACATATTTAATGAAATATTTGTCATCTTTCGATTCATCATCATCATAAAGATCTTCAAATATTTTATATATTCTTTTTTATCAGCTGATGCTTTGTTATATGGATTCAATATTTATAATACATATCATCTGTTAAATTCTTCGAAAAATCTGATTATAAACTAATTCTTAAAATACAGCTGATTAACTGTTCTTATTATGAGCACTAGAAAATTTTGAACATGTGCCAGTGAATCATGTCTATGTTCATAATTACTTGGTTTTGATATCAACGATAATTTTTTTAAGTTGGATCTGCTTTATAATAGCAAGAAGATCAGTTTACAATATCGTTCTCATTGTTTTTTCTTTCATGCAGATTATTGAAAGAAATTTGATTATAATAATCATGATTGTTGTCCTACTGTAATTCTATACATTGTGATGATAACTATACTTTTTAAATTAGTTTATTTTTATGATCAATATAAAATTACTGACACTAAATTTAAACAATTTCATCAAATAGAGTCATTAGCAAAATGATGGATTCTATCAAAGGACATTTTATGAAATATACCATTTTCATTCAAAAGAAAAGAAAAATTAACGAGAATGCTCTAGTGAAAGAAAACAAATGTACATCTACCATTATTGAAAATCTATTTTAAAGATGAACATCGACCACTACACCAAACCAGATAATAAGTTACTATATCGAATATCGAAACTAAATTCAACAGCTTTAGAACTAGACTAGATTACACTACTTTCATTACTGTTTTCTTTCATGAACATTCTTGAATTAACATCAAAAGATTTATAGTTCCGGAAACGTATGCATTATATTCGAAACAAATTATTTTATAATTAAGTCTGATTGTATTTCTTTGACAAAAAAATGAGTAAGATATAGACGAGAGAGAAAGAGAATGTGGGTGTCGATGTCTGTGGCTGAGAAAAGCATCCACACTCACATCCAAACTTGAGATTCAGACAAATTGTAAAAAAAAAATCGAAAGAAATAAGAACTAATCTTGTATTCAGTGTTGTCTATTGAGGCTTAGTTTGTTGTGGAAAGTTTCAATCAATGAAGAAAAGATCTTTAAAGTAATGCTTTCTGAATAGTATTGTAATAGGTAAATTCTCTTGAAATTTAATAATCCACAAATTTGCAATGTTACTTCATTTGTTCATATAGATACCATCCAAAATCATTTTTCGATGTCGATACTGAAGAAGTCAATGATGCATACACTATAACATGAATAAATGATTATCAATACTCAGTCTATGTAAAGAAAAACAAGTACATGCTATTTTCGTACTGCAAACGAAAATAAGAATTTATTTTTTCGATAAAAGAAAATTATTTCGTTGTTTTGCACCTACTTAGAACGAATTATTCATGTGGCATATACTATCTTTTCCATTCAAAATAGTTCATCAGAAACATAAGAAATTATTCCCAGGATAACAGTTGAGAAATATATATATCGTTCGTGTGTAAATAATATGATTTTTGATATTGACGAGTTATACTTATTGATGTTCTAACCGATTATAATATATAGTCTCTATTGATTTTTGTTATGTTTATAAATTTGCAGTACTATTTCATTTGTTCTTTTGTTTCGTTTCTAAATGATTCAAAACAGAACGTCTTTCGATAGAGTTTTTATTTCAAACAGATGGTCAAAAAATATTTTGAATTTGATTTTATTTGATCTCTTTTGATTCATTTCTGACTTTAATACAAAAAAAAAAGTAAAAATAAAATAGCAGACATCCCAATATTATAATAAATTAGAAAAAAGAAACTAAACGAATCTCATTCACATACAGTGAGTTCATCGATTAAAAAAAAAATACATGTCTATCTGCTTCTAAAATCCAGTAAAAATATTAATAATAAATTTCAAAATTAAAGATTTTCACGCATTTTCCTTGCTATATGTTCAATCATTTCATAAGCAATATCAAACTTTAATGGACCATATAAAAGAAGATGTGCTCCATGGAATGTTGTTGGAAAATGATGATGATAAAAAGTTTTATTTAATGAATGTAAACGTTCAGCAAAGATAAAACCTACAAAAAAAAACAAATAAAATATTACAAAAATTAATATTTTGTTTATATCGATAAATCTTGACATTATTTCGTCGTTTGAAATACATTTTTTTCAAAACTTTCATCAAAATTCTTTACTACGAAATTCATAATCTAAGAACAAACGTCATAACTATTTCACCTTTCTTATTCACATATTTACTAATAGTAAACATCTTCTATCAATTATATTTTTTTTACTTGTGTGAAACTCTCTGTTGAATTAAAAGTTTTCTTATTCATATTCGATTAAAATTTTTAGTATTTATAACATTGTAATTGTAGTTATTAGATTCTTTATACAGTACGTGCAATTTTAGATTTATGAAAAATTTCTTTATGCTAATGAAAGACTATTTAAATAAACTGAATAATATCTTAAAATACTCAAACGACCTGATAATCTATAGAAAAAGTGCACTATGCCAAAAAGAACGTTATTAATGTCATGTGTGTTGTCTTGCGACAACTTTTTTTTTTTCTACTGATAAGAATACTAACGAAAATTGTTTAGTTTTTAATATTTGTTTTATTAAATAATATTGAATTAATAAAGACAATTAAAATTATATTTACCTTCATCTCTAAGTATATCAAATTCCGTAGTAAAAAGTAAAATTGTTGGTAATTTCATTAATTCATTATCATCCACCAATAATGGAGACATTTTTGGTGATATAAGAAATTTTAAATGTGGAATTAAATTTTCATTACCTTCTTGATTAATATCAAATGGAAATGATATAGGTAAATATTTTTCAGCATTAACATATGGACGTAAACGTTTTTTATCTTCTTTTGATGTATGATTATTAAATAGAATATCACGTGTTACTTTTATTTTACTTTTACTTAATTCAGACATAACAGAAAGAAAATTTTCTTCAGTTATAACACCAAGAATATTTCGAGGTAAATATAATCGATAAGATGGTAATGTAAAATCAAAAAATTGCAAAGCTGGATATATAAGACAAACTGTACGAGGTTTAAAACCATCATTTATTAATGATTGTGTTATAACTAAAGCTAAATTTCCACCAGCTGAATCACCTACTAATGTTATTCGATTAACATCAATTCGATAATTTGCAGCATTTTTAAATAATTCATAAGTAACTGAAGTACAATCATCAAGTGCTGCTGGAAAATAATGTTCTGGTACACGACGATATCTTGTAAAAGTAAATAAATCAATCAATTATATTCTCTAGCTATTAAAACTTCATCAATTTAAAAAGATAAAACATTCATAATGTAAACAGTCGAACTTTTTACATGGCAAAAAATCTGCTTTTTTCCCCCCTTGAATTAAATCCTTTTGCTACATGAATAAATCTCTTGTTTATAAGAGAGGAATAGAAAAAAAACTTACTCGACTGATATCACAAGTGCACGAGTTAAATTAGATAATGCATATGTAACTTGATCATATGTATCACGACATCCTAAAAGAAATCCACCTCCATGAAAATGTATTATTGTTGGCATTTTATCCATATTAGCTAATTCTTCAGGTTCATATATTCGAACACTAACATTTAATATTTTTTTATCATAAATCTACACACACACAAACAAAAAATTTATTCATTAAACCAATGAATAGAACTTACCTTTAAATGATGTTCAGGATTTCGTATTTGAAAACAACCAACAGATATATAATACAAAAACCGTAAAATATGAATACGATCGAATAAATTTATTTTTTCAGCAAAATAACCCTATAAAAACAAGATAATTGAAAAAAAACTTTAATCCATTTAAATCTTACTAATTTGGAAAAAATATGTGCCCAAAATGAAAGAAATCTATATTTCCATGGTTGAGGAAAATTTTCTGGTAACGGTTGATAAACCAAAGCAATTGATAAAACAGATAAACTAACAACAATAATAAATATCTTTTGTTTTGATATTGATTTTAATAAAGTATTGCTAATTTCATTATTTGACGTCATTATGTACGTATTTTTGTAATTGACCTTGAAATGGACTGTATCAGACAATAATCACACCATATATATAACTTGAT